CCTAGGTAAAGAAAGATGTTAGCAGGCATGAGCAAGTCCAGCAGAGAGCCATGAAGATGATGAGACCATGAAGATGATGAGAAGTTGGAGAATGACGGGTTAGAATTATACTCTTTGCCAGGCAGCTCACCTCTCCTCTTCCTGTGACCTTGCACTTAGCACATCTTCCTGTAGCTCCTGCTTCATCTTGACTGCACAAATATTTCAGACTGATCCCCTCAAAAACCATGATTTGAACTTAACGCCAGGCCAAGAATAATGCTGATAGACTCAAACTCAAATAATAGCACTGTGCTCACTAACCTGCCTTCAAAAAATACAGAAAAAAACCCATCTATGCACTGCCTCAGTCTAAGGGCCATGTGGACTCCGAAGCTGTGTTCTTGGGGAGCTAAGTGGAGCTGAGTTAAGGTGATCTCTTCACTGTATGAGGTGCATACCATGGACCGGTAAGGATCAGAGGATGTAGTAAAACACTTTTCCCGGACAGACAAGTGAGGAGAGTGATAACATCTCATGTGGCATGCTCTCACCATCAAACTTACTTGTAGGATGTGCAAAGAAGACATGTTGGTCTGTGCTGCCCCTCTCCACTAGCACTGTTGTAGGGGGAGTTTGAGCAGACTGAAATTGCTTTTCTGCAGATATTGGAGTTACTGCTTTACCTCATGAACTGTAGGCCTTTTCCAAGAGGAACCAGCACAGGACACTGCCAACACAGCATCTTCCATGGGATGCCACCTTACCATCAGTTTATCACAGGAACAGTCTCATCCCATGGCCTTGTCTTGCTGTACCAGACATGGCATGAGCATTGGCTATTCTTTCCATGTGTCTCAACCCTTCCTCATTGTCATCACCCAGGGAAAGGACAGTCATTTTTTCCAGAACTGGGAAGATATGCACCATAGGCAACATACCACCAGTGGTGGTGGTGGTTTCTGCAGCAGAGATGGACTTAGCATCTTGAAAATGGATTAAGAATGAACAGTGTCCACCAGATCCATCCGAGTTAGAGCATTGAATTTTAACTGTGTATTCAGCTTTTGAAGTCCTACAAACTGTTTCTTACAGAAGAAATACTTACAATGGGGAATATCCTGACATGCCTCTTATGGCTTGAGGAGCTCTTGCTGCCAGTGGGAAATCCTACTCACAATTTTATTTGCCTGTTTTTCTTGTGCAAGGGGTGTCATCTTAAAAAAAAAAAAAAGGGGGGGGGGTAAGTATGTATCTGTTTATTCATACAGTGATATTGCAAACTCCATAGCTGCTTTTATTTTCAGGGGGGATAGGTGGACTGGTTCAGGTATTAAAATAACAGTAAGTGCTGATTTTCTTTGATCTTAAATTTTAATCTTTTTGAAACAGATAGTGATAATCGCTTTTGGGAATGGCTTGGGTTGTTCAGGGGTTTTTTTTGGTTGAGTTATTTTTTGAGGCTCAAAGCTGGAAAAACAAAGGTTTGCCAAATTGTTAGTCATAGGGCATGTTTCATAGGGCGTGACAAACTTTATTGCCGTTGAGAACTTTTGGGCTTAGAAATGGTGCAGGGTGGTTAGTTCTGGAGACAGCAGTCCATCCTTTGTTCCAGACCTTTGTCTCATCAGTGTCTCATCACTGGGATGTGAATTTACCTTCTTCATAATGCCATTACAGCCTGGGCAGTAAAATGCCATTTTTTTCTTCTAGCAGTAGGAGATCAAGAGATTGCTCCAGCAATCACCTTCACCTTCACGTGTCTCGTGTCTGGAGGATGTGAGATGTTTGGGTCTTAAGGGGTGAATTCTGTTAAGGGCCTGCTGCCCTACCAGGAGCAGGGTCGAGAACCCCAAGTGTGGGAGATCTGACTGACTGTTGTGAAGCTCTTTTCCATAGGCAGCCCTCAGCGGAGGGCAAGATCAGGTAGTAGCAGTCTTTGTTGTGCTGTGCCCTTCTCTCAGGACAGTGGTGTGTCCATGCAGTAGAACTTGTGTGGTCTGACTGTACAGGAGCTGGAGACAAAGACATGACAGGAAGAGCATCCTTCAGCCCCCTTGTCTAGCATGGGAAAGCAAAGAAGGGCTAGCTATTGAGTGCAGCTGACTTTAGAGGGCAGAGCTGAAGTAACTCTGTCAACCACTGTCTTTCAACTTCAAGGTTTCTTCTGCTAGTCAAAGTTCTGGGCTTCATGAAGCAACTCTGAGCAATTGAGGAAACAGCCTTTCATCATGTCAATAAATTTCTCTGAGATTGAATGACTCTATGTTTTTACTTCTTTTTTGTCAAGGAAATTGTGTTTCATTTGTGAACTTAGGGTTTCTATTGCACATCCCTGCAAACATCTCCCCCACTAATACGTTTTGGGCTTGTGTGCATGCAAAGCTGAATGGAGAAAAATCTCCTGGCTGAGACAAGGGAGCAGCCAGCATAACACCAAGACTAATTTGATGTGCACACAGCTGAAGCTTCCCCTTTCCCACCCTAGACCATAGCAAACCACTCCACATGTCCCTACTGATCTTACGTAAGGTTAGAAGGACTGGGATGAGGCTTGCTGAGGGAAATGGGCCCATGGACCTGACTGTGGGAGTTTTATGCTTGCTGTGGTTTGTAGGATCCTTAAGACTAGTTTGGACCTGGCAAAGAGTATGGTGTAAGATGGACTCTGATGTTCTTCAGGATGGCCACCATCATCTTCGCTTGGTTTGTGTGATGACTAATTGCAGTATGGTCCCACTATACAGCAGGAGCTGCTTGGTGCCACTGCAACTCCAATGATGACCATAAAACTGTTTTCACAGTTCTCTGATATTTTAAGAATTTTGGAGCTGTTGTTCACTGACTGTGGAGCTGGAGTGTGGGAGGAAAGCAGAACAAGACTGGTGAAATGCGCAGTGACTGTGGGAGGCCCAAGCAAGCGTGCTAAAACAGGGCCTTGAGTGGAGGAGCTGCAATCCATAAAGTACATGAAGCAAATTTGACCTAGTCTGTTCTACCAAGTCAGCACTGTGGCTGTTTTAGTCCAGTTAAACACCCCTACAAACTAGATCTACAGTGCAGTCTGACCCAGTATCTTGGTCAAAAGCAAACCCTGAAGTATGACTAAAACCAGCCTTGCTCTATCATAGGAGAGCAGTTAATAGCAAAGAAACCAGCCTCTATCCACTTGATGAACTTTCATTATTTATTGTTTTAATAGACAGGAATGAATATTCAACTAATAAGCTTCCTGTCCTTAAGTGATTGTGTTCTTCTGATTATAAATAAACTTAAAATCTGAATTCTTGATTCTATTTTAATTTAAAACAGACTAAACCCTATGGGAATGATATTTTCTGGTTTCATGAACTAGAAAGGGTTCATGCCCTGATTCTCATCTGGAGGATCATATGATGACTTGCGGTAGCGGTATTTTCCTGAAATAGCTTGGAGTAGCTCTGGGGTTTGGGATGTGCCTCCTTTCTCCCTTCTGTGTGCCTTCCCCTAAGTACAGGTCCTCTGGATCTGGAGGTCAAAAGGCAGTTTACAAGTTGATGAGGGCTTAGCGTGGCCTTCCAGCACCCTTCCATTAGAGGTGTGTTAAGTGCACTCCTGTTTCACAACACCTTTGCTCTGTGGGACCTTTTGGAGTGTTTATACTCCCAGAGAAATATAAAGGGATTGTAAATTCTCAGTGCAGCTTGCCGAACTGTGGCTGCACAAGCCATGTGCTACCACAGAGCTGTGCTTTCCTGCCTTCTGGCCAGGAAAAACAAGCACAGCCCTTTATCTCAAGGGACTTTGCAGTGGGATATGCCATGACCACATGAGTGGCCGGGTGTTGGATGTGCAAAGTCCTGGTCCCAGGGAAACGCATGCTAGGAGGGAGCAGCTGGGATGCAATTGGCTCACTTGCCCTGTAACTTGAAGGCTTGAAGATCCCAGATGGAGATGAGCATGTGGCTCCTTTGGGAGCGTTTCCACACAATTGCTGTCAGAGATGTGGATCTGTGCATCCTGTTCCAGTTTGTGCAGCTATGCTACTCAATCCCAAGGAAATAAACATTCTTCAGATGCTGCTTTCAGGGAGGATGGCAGAGGCCATAGAGGGAGCAGGAGGGTTTCTTCCACCTCACTGTTCAAGACTGAGTGCTATTACAGTGTTTTCACAGAACATAGCATCTGCAAAAGTTCCCATCTGTTTTCAGAAGCTTGTAACCTCTGTGTCAGGGAGCAGTAAGAAAGCAGGCTGCCTCTCCCAGAGCTTCAGCCTCACTGCTTGCTGGCTGTTATCAGGTGAGGGGAAGGAGGTCTGATACTGATGCTGGTATATGCCGAGCATCCCTGCCCTTCCCCCACCACCTCTGTACACAGGGCAGTTGTGAGGGGCTGTGCTAATGGTAGGGTGCAAATTGGAGGCAAGTGGCTTTCTAGGCCGTGGCTATAATTATCCATGCTGTAGTGCAGCCAGTGAGGTGGTCCTTCCCTCCATTGGTATTGGGGGCTCCCCTCTGTGTCTTAGCAAGAACCCCTGATCCCGGCACGAGTGATTCCCAGGCCATAGGGTGAGACAGCCAGGCTGTGCAGCTTAAACAGTGGGGCTTACAGGACAAGCCAGCAAGCAGAGCCAAATTCTGGTTATTCAAGAAACAGAACCTTCATGGTTAGCTTACCATAGGCCATTCACCTTGAAGTGGCCTGTCTTGCCTTTTCCAGTGAGTGAACTGAGCAGAGTTCAGTCCTGTATCCGCTTGGTGCCAAAGCTGCCGTAATTCCTGTGAAGTGGGGTGTGTGTGAGAGGGGAATGGTATGCGAGCATGCCTGTGTTAAGGGGGTGCTCTGTCTTTGTGGGGAAGTGGAACTCTGCTATGTGGCTTAGCAAGGGTTTACACATCTGTGGAGCTGCTCTGAGTTCTGCTGGGAGCTGGATGCACTTTGAGAAATAGGTTTTGCCTCTGTTTGACTCGTTTACCATCTGGGAAAAGGCAAAGGACTGAAATCTTGTGTTAACTGGGCTCTTTGTCCTCTCATTTTCCCAGGGCAGCCACTGACCACAATGTTGATAACACCACAGCGATTCTTAGAGAGTGGCTGAAGAACGTGCAGAACCTCTACCATGATGTGGAGTGGAGGCCGATGGAAGACCCCCAGTGAGTACTGCAGTAAGGGGCTAGCCAAAGCTGTTTTCTGTATGTGTCAAATGTTCTAGGTTTTCTGTTTTCAAATCAGGAGATGTCCAAGCATTAAAATGTGGGGGTTTTGGAGGGCAGTGGGACATGACTATCCCATTAAAATTGTGTCTTATGGAGTCCATAAAAAGATCTCTGACTGAAGTGAAGCAACTCACACAGAACTTGGGAAAAGAAAGTATTTTCCATTCAGTATTTAGCATCTGCAGCTGCTCTCTTTGCCTAGTAAACAAATCACATCAAAAGCTACAGGGAATAAAAACTGTCATTCTTTATTTGCAAGGAAGCACAGAAGTCATATCCCATTCCCACAGTGTCTATGAAAGTTCTGTCCGAGACATCAAATATTCAGTAAGTTCTGAGCCAGAGAACTAGACTTAATTCAGTATATTATGCCTTTGCATGACTTGCAAGATCATCGATTTGAAATATGATGTTAGGTGTGTTGGGTTTTTATTGCTTTTTTTTTTTAAGATCATCTGTTCCTTGTTCTGTTCTGTTTTCTTTTTCTTCCATCAGGGAAAAGTACATCAGTTTCTGCTTTAAGTCTTAGGCTTGCTTTTACTTTCAAATTCCTCTGTGCAGTGGTGGGGCATTTGTGGTACAAACCCACAGGGAATGCTTGTGTTATTGACTTAATCCTTTCATTGGAATTGGGGTTTCTTAATCCTGTCAAATTTAGGTTTTTTAAGTTCTGTAAAAGGTTTTTGAAATACTTAGCTCCTTCACTGGCTTATGCTGGCACTGTTTCAAAGTCCTGAATTTTTATTCCTCAGTTTGCTTCCATCATTGTTACAAAGCATTTGCTTTTGGACCCAATCCTGAAAACAGACATGCACATAATTTTGCTCACATGACTGGGCTCATGGGGTTGGGTATTGGGTGTCTGTAGATTTAAAAACTGTTACAGGGATGTGTTAACAGTTACTAATAATGTCTATACCCCGAGGGAATCTAAATTGCCTTCATCTTCACATCCTCAGCTTTGTTGATTCTACTGGGCTTAAGGAGGCTGCATTTACAGTCTTAAACTTAAAGCCTAGAGGACAGATGACTTTCTGTCAGAGGGTCAGATGAGGTAAATCTGCTCCAGTTCATTTTAGTGGGGTAACCTCTGCTTACGTCAGGTAAAGGCTTGCTGCTGCAGAAGAAACTCCTGGTTTTGATAGTGCTGATTTGCTTGCGGCCGCTGGGTCAGCAGGAAATGCTGCAGCACTGCTTGTTCTCCAGTGCCCTGTGTAGACATGACAGCACGAAACTTGGAATCATTCTAGCTCAAAACATCTCCTGGGTTGCCTGAGGTGACTCTGTTTTTCTTTTGGAAAGAAGGCAGCAAGGGAACTCTCTTTTTATTTTCTTTTTTTGACTAGTGCAATAGAACCCAGAGATCGGTTGCAGTCACTTTTTTTTATTGCTAGGTCTTACCCAGAAGAAATTGGGCCAAAACATTGGCCAAGCTCCCGATTCACTCATGTGATGAAACTCCGCCAGGCTGCCCTGCGTGCTGCACGAGAGAAGTGGTCAGACTACATCCTGGTAAATACAAAGTTTGATTTATTCACTGTCCTCAGGCAAAAGCTTTTCAGGTAGTCACTCTGATACTTGGGGCTGCTAGAAAGCTTCTTCCCCATCTAAAGACAAAGGCTCTCTGCAGTGAGATGCTGTGTGTCATTTCTTAGTCTGATGAACAAGAGGCTTTGCATCCAGGGAGGTAAGTCCCCGGTAAGGCTTTCTCCACAGGAGTCAGGGTTTAATATAGTCCCAGTGATGGATAGGTCCCTGCGAGGGTCCCCTAGATTGAACCCTCGCCTGTTGTTGATGAAATGTAAGGAAAATAGTTCTGCAGAACAGTTGTGGAAAGCTGCATGCCTTTCGTCACCACAGCAGCAGTTAATGGTGGTGGTCCCAGCCTCTGAACAAGGCATGAGGCTAGTTTTTAAGAGTTCTCCTTAATCTTCTTCAAAGAATAAACCTGCCCTGAATTTTCAGCAATGTTATTTTCCCTTGTGACTCCCTTGCCCCTGCGCTGGAGTAACGTTTTTGTGGAGCCAGAGAGAAGCTCTGCATCTTTTCCCAACCTATGGCTTTGGTGCAGGGGCAGCCACCTTGGTGTTCATCCATAACAGCCAAGTGTCCTAGGGTATCAAAGCCACCATCTCTGTGAAAACCACATACCTCTGGCTGCCTTGTTCCCAAGAAATCGTCAGGGAAAGCATATTGTTCCAGCTAATAACAAGATTTCTTTTTCTCTTCCCCTCTTCCTTCTCTAGTTTATTGATGCAGATAATTTACTGACCAACCCACAAACACTGAATCTGATGATAGCCGAAAACAAGACATTGGTGGCACCAATGCTGGAGTCTCGCTCTCTCTACTCTAATTTCTGGTGTGGCATCACCCCCCAGGCAAGTGACCGGGGAAATGGTGCTGGGGGATTGTGCAAGCTGTGTTTTCAAAGGCCTCCTGCCTTGGGTCTGTGAAGCAGTGGACATTGTTTCTGTTCCTTGGGCTTTCCCATCTGCTTTTGTAGTGTCCTCCTTCTGAAAAGAAGCTGCTTTATCTCTGAGGCATGCAGAAGTGATGTTAGTGTGTAGAGAGTATTGTGTTTGTCATGCAGTCATCTCAGCTTGTACCTCTCTCGGTGGCAATCTTGAGTGGGTATCTTTGGGAAAGGTCCATGTGTTTATAAGGAGTCTATAGACTCCCTATAAGGGTAGAGAGGACACTGCAAACTATAAATGTTTTTCAGGCTTTGTTTTTTGACCGAGCTGTAGGTATGAGTAAAGCAGACATGCTCTGCATCATGTGTGCAGGCACATAGTTGAAACTTGCTTCCGTATCTGAGATTGCTCACTTGAAAAAGCTGAATCTGGAGGAAGCTGAGCTTGCTTAGCCGAAGGTCCTGGGTAGTGATACAGTCGCACTAACTGCATAAAAAATACTGATATACACACCAGAATTTATGTGAGGTGGTTCCATATGTTTGTGTAATGGCCTTAAACTCTTTGATACCTAATTTGAGAGTAGCTTTCCTGTATAGCAGTTGCTAATCTGAGAGGAATTTGCTTTTCTTTCTACAGCTCTCCATTGTTTATTTTTCTGATGCACAAACAAGATTTTTGTAGTGGGGCAACACCCTTTCCCCCTAGGGAGTGTGTGTGCATGTGTGCTGAAGTGTGTATGGAAAGGGTACTGGGTGTAAAGGACAGAAGTGCTGAGCCTAGAAATTAGTTTCATGTTACTTTCTCAAATCACATATCCTGCAGAAAATATAAGATAGAAAAATGTTGTGTAGTAGAAATAGCAGCATTTTTAGAGTCAGAACAAGGTTGAGCTATTACTTTACAAGTTGATTCACATCACTGTGGTGTGTTGACCCTGGCTGGTAGGTAAACCCCCCACCCAGTTACTTGCTTGCCCCTGCCCAGCGGGATGGGGGAGAAAATTCGAAAGGAAAAAGCAGAACAAAACCCCAAACTCAAACCCAAAAGCAACTCTTATGAATTGAGATAAAGACAGTTTAATAGCTGAAGGGGGAGAAAAAAACCCCAAACGAACAAGTGATGCAAAACAGTCACTCACCACCAGGAGGCAGATGCCCAGCCATTCCCTGAACACCGGTTATTTTGGAAAAACTCCCCCAAGTGCTATTGCTGAGCATGATGTTATACGCTGTGGAAGATCACCTTGGTCAGTTTGGGTCAGCTGTCCCGGCTGTGTCCTCTCCCAGCCTCTTGCCCACTCTTGGCCTGCTCACTGTGGGAGGGCAGAGTGAGAAGCAGAGGTGGCCTTGATGCTATGCACGCACTGTTCAGCAGCTAAAACATGGGTGTGTTAATCAGCACTGGTTTGGTCACCAGTCATGTATGGGCTGCTGTGAAGAAACTTAACTGCATCCCAGCCAAACCCAGTACAGTCACTTTGTCCATGAAAGGATTTTGATAAGAGAATGAAATGTATAGAGGGGAAGGTCTATTGTCACAGTTATTTTTTGCCTTTTTTCACTCTTCTCCTTTGAAATGTTCTTGACTAAGCTCTAGATGGGCTTTCCAAGATGTTCAAGCCAAAACGAGGACTACAGTTAATGATTTTTTTTTTCTCCCAGGTAAGCCTCATTACTGAGATCAGCTTTTTGACCTCCAGTCTGCTGCTGGTGTGTGTCTTGTCATCCTTTGGGGAGCAGAATCCTAAGCTGCATGTCTCCTAGAATAGCAAGAGGTTTTTTGTTCTCTTGAAAATTTTCCCTTTTTGCCCACCTTTGCCCTGGAAAGCTTCAGGATTTCCATTTTCCTTCCATCCCTGAGTCTTGCCTTTCCTTCTTTGTAAAGACAAGCTTGCTCTGCTACATAGACAGATGTGTTTAAGCCTGAGCTGCACATACATCTTTGAGCTTCCCTGGGGCATGTGAATATGAGTACATTAGGGAGGCTCCACAGTCCTGCCCATCCCTACCCTCTTGCTTTATTCCACAGAACTAAGCAGATATTAATTATTGTTGTCACTGCTGGAGTTAAACAAAGACCAAACTCCATTTCCCACTTCTTCTGGTGTAAAACATTATTATTCTTTCCCAGTGATACCAAGGACACAAGGAAGGACTACAGGCAGAGTGAAAACATAACAACTCTACTGGGTTGGACCAAAGGTCCATCTGATAGCAGTGGTTTGTAGCAGATGCCTAGGGAATAGAATAGTTGGCAAACTAGTGAATGAATTATACTTTCCCAAAATATTTATGTATCCTCTGGCAATTTCCTTCTCTAGGATTTCTTGAGGAAGATCTTTGTCTTTAAAGCTCTGAGGGATTTATTTTTCTTTTACAGAAATCACTATCTGAATCCTTTTTTTTTTCTTTTCCTTTTTTTTTTTTTTTTTTTTTTAACTAAATGAGTAAAAATAGCAGGAAACTTTCAAGATTCTTGGGAAGTAAATATATAGATAGGAAAAGGTGTGTGTGTGTTTATTTGTTTTTGTTTTAAAATGGAGACATAAACTTCATAGCAAAAGTATTGTCCTTTAAGTTTTTAAGTTTAAGTCCTGAGACAGGTTTTCCGCTGATGTAAATCAGTGTTGCTCCACAGCTTGAAGTGGATCTTAGCCTGTGTGCACCAGCCTCAGCCCTGGCTCCTGTGTCGCCTCTATGGTAGTAAATTTCCATCATTACCAGCATTTGCTGAGGAAAAGAGAGGGGAAAAAACCTAGCAGCAAATGCATCTTGCAGAATTTGGTGAAGAAAGCTGCTCAAAAGTTCCCACTTTAGGGTTTTTTTCTTAGTTGTTGCTGGTTGTTTCTCACAGTCCCACAGCTTCATGCTCTAAGCCTTGCTCTCCCTGGGGTCTTAGGGAGGGAGTAACAGCTGGAGCACACCCTGAAATGTGGCCTCCGGTACTGAGCAACAGCAAGCCAAACCCAGCTCCAGACAGCTTGACATTTAGTAGTCATGAAGCTATAACTATAGGAGAGCATGGCAACAGTGCTGACAAGTTGGAGTCTTTCTTGGCTATATGGGATTTATGAGCAGTGAAAAGCCCCCAAACCCCACAGTGTGACTGGAGGAGGAAAGACTAGCTTCCAGCATCTTTTATCTGTGAGCATTCTCGATGTATGTTAAAGGTTGAATGTCTTAACCCTTCCTTCAGAGGGAATGCTAGTAAGGTTTCTGCCTACTCACTCCTTTTCATGAAAATCAGACTGATTGTTTTTGAGATGCCTTCTGACCATACTGTGAGGCCCAAAGTGTAGAGGGGAGGATTGACAGGTACATAAACAGACATTTTTTTTAACATAAAATACCTAAAGATACATAAACGTACCACACCATGCTTCCACACAAAACCAGGAATAACTGGTTCTACAGTGATTTGCTCAGTTGTTGCAAGGATGCTCATGGAAAATATAACGTAAAAGTATTTTAAACTTATTTTAGTGACTCAGCACTTCTGTAAAGACCAGAATCTGCTCTGGATTCAACCGTTAGCAGTGCCTGGATGTCTAATTGGTGCATTAGGAGTTTCATTCTGGAGGAATTCAGTGTATTTGTTTCCAATAGATTTAGACATATTACACCTGCAAAACCAGCTGTGAGCCACACAGTGCGGGTGTTGCACCCTCAGTGCTGGAAGGCTAGCAAAGCCCATGGTGGCAGAGAAATGAGCTGACTAAAGTGCTCAGGAGCATTAAACCTGCTTGCCTTGGGATGGAGGAAGTGGGGATTTTTGCACAGCTGATGGAGACCGAGATGTTGCCTTTGCTGCAGTGAAGCAAATGATTTTTTTTTTTAAAGTCACAGTCAGAAATAATTTGCAGGTCCTGTTCTGTGAAACACTGTATGTCCTTTGTGTGTGTCGAACATGGAGGATGTCACGGATGCTCAGCATCTTCTAGGATCAAACCTGAGAGTCTATGTGCAAAAAAAGGTGTTTGAAGAGCCAGGAGAAGATAGTCCAAGGCTTGAAGCTCTATTGAAAGGGAATTTTGCAGTGGAAAGGCTTAGATTTCCAGTAGCTGCTAAAAAGGAAAGAGAAGGTCAAGCTTTAACTTTTAGGGTGGAAATTGTTTCTAAATACTTGACTGAGGCCTTTCCAAATGGGAGACACTTAAAAATCTGCGAATTGAGAACCGATCCATCCCTGCTGGGGAGGGCTAGTGTCTAAGGGTGAAAGCTCTTGCTGAGGAGCATCTATGAAACAAAAATCTCTTGTAACAAGCAGCCTCTTCATTGTGATTGCAGGGCTATTACAAAAGGACCTTGGATTATCCCCTGATTCGGGAATGGAAGAGGACTGGCTGTTTTGCTGTCCCGATGATTCATTCCACATTCCTTATTGACTTGAGGAAAGAGGCCTCCACCAAGCTGATGTTCTACCCCCCCCACCAGGACTACACCTGGAGCTTTGATGATATCATGGTCTTTGCCTTCTCCAGTCGCCAAGCAGGTAGGTCTGGAGCCTTTGCTGGGCAGGATTCGCTAGTAGAGATGTGCAGACCTCCAATTCAAGTTCACAGCCCAAAAGACCTGCTTTGACTTCAGTGGTAAGTTGAGACCCTGTTCCCTTTCCTATTTCAGATCTGGTTAGGGATAACCAGCAGCAAGGGGCTGGCAATGCAGTTTTGAGTCACAGCTAGCTGCAAAGGACACGGGAGTCATTCTTGGATGGGTGCAGTGTTTCAGAGACAAAATGTGTGTCATCTACCCTTGATTTGTGTCACAGCAAGACAGTAGTAAACACAGGTGAATGCAGTGAGAGTGGGAGGTATTCTGAAGTCTGTAGGTAAGGTATCTAAGGTCACCACTTCAGGAGATCCATGATGAAGGGAGTGAGGGCAAGAGACTCTTTTTAAATGTAGCAGCCCTTGTGGAAAACAGAAACCAAATTTCATCAGCACTCACAGTGCTGATGAGGCTTCATGGCAGCTCAGCAAGAATTGTCTGAGAGGTAGGGGGATTTTGTTCTTTTTTTTTGAAAGCAAAATCAGTGCAATTTTCAGGGGAATGATGTGGAGTCTGTGGGCGATGCTGAGAGGAAATCTCTTGCAGGCAAGATCAGGTTAGAGCTGGTGTGTGAGCAGTAAAATCTCTGCATACTTGACATTGTATGACTGGTACTTTTGGAGAACCAGTCAAGCACTGAGCTGCCTCGAGATCCTTGGGGCACAGCAAAGAGAAAATGTGTACCACCCCAGATGATACTGGAATCAGTTTCAAACGGACAATGGGAGGATTTCAGTTAGACCTGAAGTACAGGGGGTCCTTTCAGGCCAGGTCACAAGATCAGTGTCCTCTTCCTCTGTCTGGAATGGCTCTTGGTGTTTGCAGAGAGCTCCAGGTGTCTCAGAGAAATCACTATCTCTGAAGTGCACGATACTGCTGCTACTGCTGCTTGTACTTGCAGTGAGGATGTTTAGTCATGCTTATTTTTGGAGAGTGGATCTGCTGGGTATTCCATCTCCAGCAAAAGGTCCTGGCTGGCAGACCGGATGTAGCAGTGTCAGAGCTGAAATCTGCTCCTGGCAATGAAATGGTGGTAATGGCCATCTATATTGTTCTTTGCCCTGCTGTGTTGAAAAGGGGAAAGCTTGGGGACTTACAAGGAAAAGGGGACTGTTCAAACCTCAGCAGCACCAATGCAGTGCACTTCTGTTGAGAGTTTCATGACTGGTTTGCTGGCTTACTGAGGTGAAATAGTAGTTGTTTGTGGGTCCTCTCAGTGATGTACAGTTGGTGTTACCTGTCTTCTGTTTGTAAAAGAAGCAAAGTTAAGGTGAGAAGAAAGGGCTGTTCTTGGGGGACCAATAAGCAGAGAGAAAGTGAAGTGAAGCTGTTTCTTGTTGTTGGCAGTGGTTTCTGCAGAAGAAATGGGCTGAGAAGACTGCCTTTCCCACTCTTTCCAGCATAGCACAGACCAGCACAGCAGCCACCAACTGTTGGTAGCTTTTCTCTTAGTGATGTTTCTGGTTTGAAGTTCTTGACAGCACTGGAAAAGATGGTGTTGAATTGGCAGACTAAGCAAGGGTTTTTAAAACTCTGCTATGACAGGATGAGTGGCATCAAATGAGAGAAACGAGTGATAGAGGAGAGGCAACAAGAGCTGAAATTAGAGCCTTTGGGAGGCAGAGGTGAGATGTGAACTTGCAGGACACCACTGGGGCCCTGACTTATCAGGGTCAGGACATTAGAATGTTGGCTCCAGAGCATAATTGAAGTTTAAGTCTGGGTAGAAAAGTGGGCTCCTTCAAATCTACCTGCCCCTCTTGTTCCCTCTGACAGCTCTCCCAGAAATGCGGCATGCAATGAGCGTCATAACTGCATTGCATTAGCTCCAAATACTTAAGGAATATTTCAGGGATCCAAACCCATCATTTTTTTCCTTCCATCCTAGAACATTTTAGCTTTTTCCAGGACTGACCCATGACATGAAAGGCTTTGCATCAGCATCTGGCCCATTTACCTGCTCGTATTGTTGGCTTGAGTCCTGGGCTGAGTTTTGTCACTCAGGGTAAAAGGATGACATCCAAGTTCAGAAATGTGAAAAAATGTATGGACTTTGAGGTAATCTTCTCTTTGGAGTAATTTAACTTAATTCGCTGAAGTCATAAATGATGTTGGCTTTTGTCGAGGCCAAGTACTGTACTTAACATCTCAGATCAAACCATCGATTTTCAGCAGTGAATCTACTGCTGGAAGCAACTGTTTTGTGATGCCCCAAAGAGACCATCCTACTTCTGCTGAGAGGACATGGCCTGTGGTGGGAGTACTGACTCAGAACAAAAGTTTGTGCGGGTGTTTATTGACAAAGGTGGACTCTGTAGAGCCCCCTGCACTCGCAAGGTAGCATCTAGCCAGCCAGATCCCCTGAGCTTCCTTTAAGCCTGAGGCTCTGAAGATCTAGAGCCAGCCAGCAGGAAGGTCTGGTCACAGGGTTGGGAGGGAAATTTAGGTTGCCTAAATATGGCTGTAGGTTTAGGGCATGGATATGTATCCTGGTGACTGCCTTACAAAGGCTAGTAATAATAAAAATATCTATAGCTTTTCTGTCCCTTGCAGCAATTGTTTGTTTTATTATAAAAACAGCACTAGGGAGTGAGTCCCCCTCCCCAGTTTAAGGTAGCTTTACCATTCTAAAGTAGCTTTTATCCCAGAAGGAGCAGAAATACTGGCATGAATCTATGCAGATTAACTATGTTTAAGCCAGCGGAAGATAAGAACGGAGATCAGTGAGCCAGATAAGATTAGTTGATTAGATCAGTGCCAAATCCATTAATGTCAGCAGGTAGTACTTTTTATTCTGCCATTTACCTAAATTGCAGCTGACAGCTGAATGTGTTTTGGCAAGCAGCATAGCCAGCAATTTACTTGCAGAATTTATAATGGTAGAAACACTGAGGTCATTAATGCAGATAATTCTGCTCTGCTAAAAGTACCAAGGATTAGAGGGACTAATACATGAAAGCATCAACACACCAGGTAGTGTTTATTTCCTAGAGGGAGGGTGCGAGGTTGTGCTTGTTCATTTAACAAAAAAAAAGATTAAAAAAGCAGGTTTGCATTTTTATTTTTATTTTAAATATGCTTGGTCACTTGTACGGGTTCTAGCAGCTTTCAGACTAGTTAATTAATAAAGGGCCTTACCAGAGCTCAGTGAAAAACAATGGAAATACTTTCTCTTGGCTTCTCTGGATGTAGCTTTAGAGTATGGTGCCTGATGTGATACCAGGGCCAGTGCTGCTGCTGCCATTATAGCTGACAGTGAGTGAGCAAACCCTTGGTCAGTGCAGGGGGAGCAGCGCTTTGCTGATCACACACTGCTGGGACATTCCTGGTGAACAATCTCAGCAGTGGTGGGTCTCTCCCTTTGCAAAGACATCTGCTCCCGGGAGAGGCTTTGCATCTTCTCTTTGTTTCACACCTTCAGATTCAGCTCCTTGAACAAGCAGTTGCAGAACTGCAGAAGCAATTGGAAAAGCTTTTGAGTAGAAGGATGTTACCTTATTGCCTGTTTGTGAAAGCATGTTTTCTCCTTGCTGGTGTCTCTCTAGGATTTTCTTAATCTTCAGGGCACAATAAAAACTAATCCTGGAGAGGAAAGGACCACGTTTGGTGGAAGACTTGGCGCTTCCAAGATGGTTATCATATATATTCCTCAAAGCCCTTTGCCAGCACAGGTGAAAGTATATTGACTTTATTTTCTAGCCAAAGCAAACAGAAGCAGAAAGATGCTTGACTACAAAACCCAGACTGAATCCCTTGCTAGGCTAGTAACAGACCCCACAGCTATGCTGATGTCTTGCAGCTTCATCCCATGTGAACCCAGGGGATCTGAACTGCCTGGGCCCACATTTGACCAACCATGTGTTGTTGAAGCTGAGGATCAGACTTGGCTCCTCCACCCTGGAAGAGTTATTCCTTATTTATAGTGGTCTGACAGAGAAGCCTCAAAAAGCTCAGACAAAAACTTCCATCACCCCTAGCCACGCTGGGTTTGAGTTTTACCCTCTCTAAGACTGCCTTCACCCCAAGCTTTGAAAACTATGTGTTTCCCCCACCACTGAGCCCCATTTTCCCCCCCCTTCCCTGGTTTGGAGGCTGTTGCTGAGCCCTGAGTCTGTGTGGGAAGAGAGGCCTAATGTCCCAGGATTGCTGCTGCTTTTCCTTTGGAAGCTCTTTTGGCTCCTGTGCCAGCTGTTGCATTGCTTGAGACTGGCATACTTGGAGGGTGAAAACCTGGTCCTGCTGTTGGCTCTGGCTCTGTGAAGGGATTGTCAGGTGAGGTACCAGGTCTGAGCAGTGCAGGGGGGGGGAGGGGGCGTTGAGGATGGGGATTTCTACAGTACTCCCTAGTTATCCGCAGTAGTCCTGCTGTATCAGACACTGCTTTTCCTGAAGGCCAGTTTTGCCCTCTGCTGTTTTCATAGCGTGAAGGCAAAGCCCCAAAAAAGACTCTTTCTCTAATCTAAGAGGACTGTTCGCCATCTCTCCTAGGAGAAAACTGATTGCTGTTAAAAATACCCACTGTTAGGGAGTGAGTAGGAATTGGTTTCGTAGGAAAGATTACTTGCTGCCAACCAAATAAACCAGAAAATGGCACTGTGATATTTTTGAACTGTTTGCTTATGAAACAGAACTTCTTGGGACTGAGGTCCTGGCTAAGTTTGGTTGTGGCTGTGCAGCAACAGAGCAGCAAAATCCGCTGGTAGAAGACCTGACTCTAATTTCTGTTTTTCTGCGATCCCCAGGAGTACAGATGTTCATCTGCAACCGTGAACACTATGGTTTCCTTCCCATGCCCCTGAAATCACACCAGACGCTACAAGAAGAAACGGAGAACTTTGTGCACACACTAATTGAGGCTATGAGTAAGTTGCTGTGCCCTGCCATGAGGGATCCCCAAGTTCGTGTTTGTAGAGCTTTTCTGCCAGCAGCTGAGCTGTCTTCCCCTTGGGAATCTGCATCCTGATCTGACTACTCTCCTACTGTTTTGACCCACGATTTTCCATTTTCCACCACTTTTCTACTCAGGGCTGTAATCACTTCACAGTCAGGTCCACCCCATTCACAAAACCCCTTGATTTCCCCATATTAAATGCAAAAATGCATCTTTAATGTGGAAGGAATGCTGCAGAACCTCATCTTTGTCACGAGGTTTGTCTGGCACATGGCTGCTGGCTTATCATGGATGCTTTCTACTACACCCATTCCTGCACTGACTTCATAACACAGCTCCTTGGGGCTTTTTAGACCCAGTGATGAAAACACATGCAGATATATCAGTGCAGCTTGTACACGAGGGTGATGCTGGGGATCTTTCCTCTCTTTCAGTCGATCGTCCTCCCATTGAACCCTCTCAGTATGTCTCTGTTCCTCCGAAGAATCCTGACAAGATGGGATTTGATGAAGTAAGGAACCTATTTTGCTGCCATTGTCTTGTGTTGTCTTGTCTTCCTATTTATCACTTAGAGGACAAGGGTTCTCCCAGTAGCTGAGCTTCCAATCATTTCCCTTGGAGTATATTATCTTTTCATGAGTTAGCTCTTTCCCAATCACTCATCTTTTGGACTTACACTTTTTGCAAGGAGAAAATAGCCATCCTTTTGTGGGAGGGCTTCTGCCGAGCTCAGGGACGCAGAAGGGAATGGGCTCGAGGAGTTCTCTTTCCCTCTGGCATTTGCTGTGGAGAAATGAGGCCAGTCAGGTCTGTGGGCACTTAGTAGCTGCTACAAGACTCCTGCTCAGAAGTGAAGGTTTGTGTGCAAGGGCAGTGCCCAGTGAATCTTTGTGCTTTCTGTCTTGATGGTATGGATGTTTTAATCCAGCCAGGGGGAGATGACAGAAGTGAGGCTGAAAAACAGGTTATTTAACTCCTCAGTTCTTGTGCTGTTTCCTCTACATCTGACTCTGCAGAGCAGCTTGAAATTCTGCAAAAAAACCTGGTCTTTTGGGAAACCTCTCCTGCTTTCCAGTGTCAGAAGGGAACAATTTCTCTCACCTAAGAGACACACTGGAGAGCCTAGAGCAGCTGGGAGAGCCAGCTCACAGATGGGTTCTAGCCCAAGCTAGGTACATGCCGGGTTGGTGGAAATCTTCCAATGCTGTCTCCCCCTGCCCTGCTTGGTCACCGCAATTTTCTGCTATGGCCTTAAGTTAAAGTGAACTAGAAAGATGGTTGCTGACACTGGTAGTGCCCCAGGATCCTGCAGAAATTCCTTTCCTGACCCTGCCGCATGTTGTGGAGAGAGCAAGCATTGAGGGGAGAAGGCTGGAGAGGGATCTGCTGTGCTTTAATTAACCATGTTATTCACAGAGCCAGCAACCCCTGTGCATGCAGCTGCCAGGGTGGCACCATGACCGACAGGGTCCTGGTGATCAGGGGAGCCTTTGTTCTCTTGGTGTATTCTGCTACATCTGTTTATAAGACTCTTAAAGTCTGAACCTGATTTGGCTATGTGTGTTTGAGTGTCTGTGTTTAGGACACAGCTGGCATAGGTTTTTTCCATGTTGTCCTTTGTGGCTGCACTTTATTTATCCAATTTATTATTTTTGCATCTGTACTGACCAAGAATTTGATCCACTTCTTACTGGGATGAGGTTTTGCTCCACAGGCTACAAGGCTGCACTTGTCTGCCTGTGACTGAAAATTATGCCTCACCCTCTGCAGTTTACCTGCAAATGAGGGCTTCAGTCCTCTTCCCTCCACCAGAGAGTCTGTCTCCTCAAGGCTTGGATGGAGCCCTGCACAGGCATCTCTGTTCCTGGTCTTGGCTCCCTGCTAGGCTCTGGCAGGGGTAGCAGTGGATTTTCAGTGTCTGAAGTAGTTAGGAAAATTCTCTCTTTTATCATGTCCCTGTACTTGGATGGTGGCCCCACTGATAATCCTAAATACAGGCAACAGCAGCATGATGGGGAAGCATGTGGGTCAGTCTTCCTCTGGGACTGGAGCCGGACATGACCATGTTACTCTGTGTTTAATATAAATCAAAACATCCTATATCTTGGAAAATTATAGACTTGGCTGTAACTAGTCTTCTCTCACCTTTATTCATTCTCAAAGAGCGACTTTCCCTTGTTGAACATCCATAAAAAGTAGTTGTTGGACAGAGAACAAGCCTCTAAGCTTTCAAGTCAAAACCAACCCCATTTTTTTGACAAGTTCTAAGCAACCTGGAATGAAAACATACCCAGTATTTTCATAAGATCTGCTTTTCCAATAGGGCTGCTGGAGAAGAATGGACTCCCTTTTCTTCTTCACTCCCAAGTCAAGAGGCTGATGTCTTTATCTTCTATCCAGATTTTCATGATCAATCTGAAGCGTCGGAAAGACAGGCGGGCTCGGATGCTGCGGACTCTCTATGAGCAGGAGATTGCAGTCAAGATAGTGGAGGCTGTGGATGGAAAGTGAGTTTTGGCTGGGGTTGCTGATGTTTGCAAAGAGGGGGTTGTGCGTTTAGGCTTAACACCATCTGCTTGGATTCCCTGGCCTCTCTTCTGTGGGGAAGGGTGGGCTGAGGGGAGAGGCAAGTACCACTTTTATTTACCTAACAGCCTGTTTGGGCCAGTTTTGCTCTGTTTCTTTCTTTCTTTTTCAATTAGTCAGTCTCCATGAGAGAACAAGGGCAGCATGGTTCAGACTAAGATGAAAATCAGGTTAAAATCATACCGATTTCTGTGAACTATAACACTCGCACACAGTTAAAAAGGAGTTAGCAGTGAAAGTGTTTGAGAGCAATTATCTCCTGGGAAGATTTTTCATCCTGGTGCTACGAAGCTGTTGTGCTACAGTGTTAACCTTGACAGAGCGCTTTCCAAGCTTACTCTAAGGTGTGTTAAGACATTTTTACGAGAAATCAAGGCAGAAATTTGGAAAGGCAGAGAGTTGCAAAAAGGTCTCGGAGAGATAGGAATCCACATGCCATCTAGTGGTCTTTGAGACTTGGGTACACATCAAGACATTTTAGAAAAATAATCTAAGCCAAGCACCTGACAAGTTGATAGTCCAACAAGAAGTCATTGGCAGAGTTCAGGATATGATTTGTCAGCTTGATTTAGAAATGTAAATCAAGAAGTTAATTTTTCTCTGGTTTTGAGTGAGACAAGTGCAGAATTTCTCGAGATACATCTTCTCTGAACATCAGCATTTCCCGTGTTGCGCCTGTGACTTGAATTTACTTTTTTTTTTTTTTTTTTTTTTTTTTTTTTCTCAGAGCACTGAACACGAGTCAGCTCAAAGCTCTCAGCATCGATATGCTGCCGGGTTACCGGGACCCGTACTCCTCCAGGCCACTAACCAGGGGAGAGATCGGCTGCTTCCTTAGTCACTACTACATTTGGAAGGAGGTAAGGAGTTTGTGGGTGCCTTGGGGCACAGCCAGTCCTAGGGCAGAGCATCCAATACAACGCAGCTTTCTGGAAGCGTAGAATGGAACTGTTTTCCTTGGTTTGTAAGGGATCATGTGCAGGGGTTTTCCTGAAAGCTGTGCTCAGCTTTCTTGTGTCTGCTTTCCACTTGCCAACAGCTCTGAGTGATTTGTATCAGAATATTTTCATGACACTTTTTGCAAACTGTCCTGCTTGAAACAAGTTTTCTTAGGAGAAAGGCAAGCAGGTTTTGAAGAACAGATGGTGTTAAAAAAAAATCTGGTTTTTTTCCCCTTATTCTGCATCTGGACTGAAGCAAGTTCACGTCCTCTATTACCTGAGCTAAGAGATCTTGTTTGGGTGGTAAAAGTTGTAGCTTCCATCTGTCCCTGGTCACCTGAGGAGTGACACTTGAGAGGATCTGGGCTGTGCTGGTCAGAGATGCTGGAGTTACACAGTCTGACATCAATAGGAGGGATAATTTCAAGTAAGGGGTGGTGAGGGCAGGGAGAGGCCTTGGTACAAAAGGAAGGCTGGGCAGTGGCAGTGGTTACCCAAGTAGAGGCAGCCCCTGCCTGCAGAGGTGCTATCTGCAGCACCTCCTTGCAGCAGGGCAGGGCACTGATCCAGAGGGCCCAGAGCCAGATGGAGGGGCTCACTGCTGAGAAGCCCAGCTGTCTTTTGGCCTTGAGACTTCTAAATCGCCAACACTCAGATGATGACGACATGGGAACCTACATGCAGAATGCCTTTGCCTGTGTGTTCTCTAGGTCCTCAGGGCCAGGCTTTGGATATGCTAGATTGTCCTCCTTCCCAGACTTCAGGAACACTTTCTTTCAACAAACGGTTTTTTGAACAGCAGCTTTGGCAGCAGAGGCTGCTGCATATTCCCTGAGGAAGTTGTTGCTGTGGCCATGCTGGATGGTAGCTCACAGGTTCTAGATGAAGAGTTTTTCTAGGCTGCAGATGCTCAGCCACAGGGTATTCCCAGGCCTGTTCTCACTGGCTCTTCTCTACTGTCTCTGCCTTTACCCTCAGATGAGGGTAATAACACTTTCTAGGAGACTAAAGTAAATATGTGTTCCCTTGCAGTTTGAAATGATGCATTTTTGTTTGGCACTTTGTCTTACTATCCTGGTATACTGGTGTATCCTCATATTATCCATCTTTAAAGTGTCTCAGAATAAGCATCTAAAACTGTGATGTCTCTCCCAGCTGAGCCATGAACCTGGGAGTGGTCTTCAGCCTCCCTACCTGCATGGTCTAGAAGGCAGTGCCAGGTCAGGATGACCCCTGATCAGGGTGCAGGGAGTGGCCCACATGTGCCACTGTGATCACTTCCAAACCCTCTTGTTTCAGGTGGTGAACAGAGAACTGGAGAAGACTCTTGTTATTGAGGATGATGTGCGCTTTGAACACCAGTTTAAAAGGAAGCTCATGAAGCTGATGGATGACGTTGAACAAGCCCAGCTAGACTGGGAGCTTATGTAAGTAATGGGCCCTCAGCCACCTGGGAGCCCCTGGGCATGCAGAGGAGGTCAGCAGCATCTGCTCTGTCATGACAGAGATGTGGGTGAATGCTGGGGTGCAGGGGGAGGTGGCAGAGACTTCTTGGTGGCTCTTGCCATCAGGACAGCTCTGCCTTCTGGGGCAGACTGATGCTGAAATGCTTGCTGGGTGGCATTACTGCCCTGTGTGGGCAGTGCTGATTAATCTCAGCAGTGTCTGGAGATGCTGCTGTGGCAGAGGAGCTGACACAGCTCAGTCCTGAGGCTTGGACTGTGTCATCTAATCTCCCTTATAAACTTCGACAGCTGTACCACCCACTGGGTTAAGACTTGAATGTCTGGGAGTGGTGCAGGATAAGAAATCCATGAGCCTGGTCAGGGATTACTTCTTGGAATGACCCTTTACTCTTCCTTGGTTAACATAAACAGTCTTGTGGTCCTAATTGCTGCAGATTCACTTTGGTTCCAATTTCCTTGGTCTTTTCACCCTTTAAGCTACATTGGCCGGAAAAGGATGCAGGTGCAGGAGCCTGAGAAAGCAGTTCCCAATGTCATGAACCTGGTGGAAGCTGATTACTCTTACTGGACCCTGGGGTACGCAATCTCTTTCCAGGGGGCTCAGAAACTCGTCGGAGCTGAGCCCTTCAGCAAGATGCTGCCTGTAGATGAATTTCTGCCAGTCATGTACAACAAGCACCCTGTGTAAGTAGGATGCCTTCACTGCTCGGGTTGTCATGAGCTGGGTCTTGCTGAATGATCTTAAGCCCAGTCATGTTGGTGTGTCTCACTTCTGTAGCCTGGCTGGTGGGGGACAGGGCTATTCCTTATGCTTTTTGATTGTTTCCAGCAGAGCTCCTGAGTCAGGTCAAAGGAGGTGAAAGACCTGCTGCAGAGCAGTTATTGTTCCTGCCTGGTGCAGGGCTTGTGGCCCGGTTCTGAGACATTTGGCTGTCTCTGGTAACAGAGGCTTTGACTGTATAGGTTGCGTGTGGTCATAGGGTGCCTGGTTCTGGCTGCGGGGAGTCAGACTCCACCCCAGCAACTACCTCTGCTCCCTGGGACCTGTTTGCTCAGTGGATTGGCTTGTATCTCACAGTTGCAAGCAGTGGCACTGAAGAACATTCACTCTGTTACTGATGATTTTTCTCTCCTCTTTAGAGCAAAGTACATGGAGTACTATGAGTCGAGAGACTTGAAAGCCTTTTCAGCAGAACCTCTGCTTGTTTACCCCACCCACTACACAGGGCAGCCGGGCTACCTCAGTGACACAGAGACCTCTACAATCTGGGACAATGAGACCGTGTCAACAGACTGGGACAGAACACACTCCTGGAAATCCCGGCAGCAGGGCAAGATCCACAGCGATGCCCAGAATAAGGATGCCCTGCCTTCCCAGTCATCTCTCAATGCGCCGTCCTCCAGGGATGAGCTATGACTGCCCACTTCCCCTGGGACTCTATTGACAGCTGAACCTGCCTCACACTTTAGCTTTTCACCCTTGAAAGTTGTAGAGCAGCTCTTCATGTGGTCTTCTTCCCGCTGCTTTGAATGCAAAGCATAGTGGTTGGACCTGACAACTAACCAAGTCACTTAGGACTGGCTGGGAGATGAAGGAGGAAAAAGACCGAGTGTTCTAGACTGGCAGAAAAAAGGCAGAGATCTGAACAAAAGGCCTCTCAAACTTTTGTGAAAAAACAACCTTGAATGATGTCTTTCTACAGTTCCTCGTGTAGAACACTCTATTTATAAAGATTAATATATAGAGGTGTACAAGTGTTAATACCTGTCTGGATAGCTGTAACTCGGCTGCTGTGTAACTGTTATTCCTTGTAGGTTTGTAGGCTTTTATAACCCAGTTCACTGATACAAACTGCAGGCAAGCGTGTGGGTTATTCAGTTCTGTTTTCCAAAGGAATCCCTGTCAAAATCCAGATGGTTTCCAAAAATGTTCTGTGCACTGTAGCCATGCTCATCTGTAGTATCTTCTTCCTCCTCACATTTCCATAGAGAACTACTGCTGGGTTCCCCTCTGCAAATTTCAAAACTTGCTAGATCCCATCTGAACAGGCCTCCCAGTACAGAACCGATGTCTTGGCATGTCTAAAATCTTAGAAGCTAGCAGAGAAAGTGGAGGTTGCTGGTTTTGTTTGCCTCTGCACTGCCTGAATGGAACACGGGCAGCATTAGTCTGTGTCATGTCTTGCTTCACCCCCTGCCTTAGTTTATTCCTTCAGGAAGATAAAGCCTGACAACCTATTTGCAGGCCTGTTTAATTAGGCCATAAAACCCAAGTGTAGGACTTCAAGGAACTTCAAAAGTTTGGTTATGAACTGCTTGACACTACCTTTATAAAACCAAAACAGCCTACAGAGATGTGAGTGTTCTCAACAGCCATGATAGAATTGTGTGTTACAGGACAGTGTTGTGGTTTAAGCCCTGCTGGGACCAGAGAGCACACTGCTGTTGCCCCTCCCCCACCCGCAGCCGGTCGGGCTGGAAGTTGGGCACAAACCCCGGGGTAAAATAAGAAGAAATTTAATACAACAGTGTGATAAACAATCTGAACAACAACAGTAGCAATGGTAACAACAATAAACAGTAATAACAGTGAACAAGACAAACGATATACAGAGAAATACCGCTAACTGGTCACGGAAACAGGTTCCCGCCACCAAGCCCACCAAAGAGCAAGGTAAAAAGGTTCCGCCCCTGGACCTGACGTCAGCATGGTATGAATAACCCGGCTGGAGATCCCTTCCCACTCTCTGCTGGGGAAACCTAACCCTATCCAAGTTGAACCAGGACAGACAGAAAGGCAACTTTCCTTGATATTTTTCCATGTGAGGAGCAAACTTGTCTTTTTTTTTGGATGAGTTCTGATGTACTTGCTGTACATGTCAGCAGAGTAGGGGGGTTTATTTTTTTTAGAAAAAAATGTTTCTCAGAGGCCAGGTGACCACAGACTACACTGCTTAGGTTTAGCCAGTGGCAGACCTCTGGCTGCAGGCTGCTGGTGCAGAGGGAGGATGCCCTCCTGGACTTGCAGTCTAGAGACTCACCTGCTGGCTGCTGTACAGTTGAGCATGTGTGGCTGTTTTTTAAATTTTTGTTTGATTTTAATAATTACTGATCAGTGTGCTTTCTGATACAGAAGACGTTATTATTACCTGTCAGCCGGTCTGATAATACATAGAACCTGGTGCAAGATGAGCACTGTGTGTAGTCTTCATTGGGTGGGAGTAGCTCTGGCTGGGGAAGGCCAGCTCAAGCTGTGTCACTCCGCCATGGACTCACTGCCTGTTCTGCATCTACCACCTGGAAGCCGTGTTCCTTCTGCTGCCCAGGCTGGAGCAGGTGCCCGTGCGATGGAGTGAGTCTGGAGAGCAGGTCTGCTGCAGGCCACCACGCACAGCCTGGGTCATTCTTCTCTGACAAGCCCTCTTGCTTCCTCCTCAGGTCTTGCTTTACCAGGGGCAAGTCTGACTTGTTTGAAGCATGATGGCAATCCCAAAGATGTTGGTGAGAAGCTTGGTGTGGCCTTCAGAAGCAGGACTTTGGTGAACTGGTGAGCATCCAGCACGTTCTCAGGCATCGCTGTAGGTACTGTGATATGCATGTGCATCCAAGTCTGACAGAGCAGCAGGGATGGGCAAGTGCTGGGTGGGTGAGTCTCTTTGGCCTGGTACCTGGTATCATTTCTCTGGTCTAATACTGTGGCTGCCTCTCCACATAAGGGCTCGTTATGGCTCCACTGTGTTTGTCCACATCATCACTGTGTATCTCTTCCACCCTCATGTGCTTTTAGTTCTGCAAAAAAAACATCTCTGTGTCCATGGGAGCAGCTTCTCTTTCTGCCAACCTTGGGGGCGATTACCTGTGTCAGCAAGCACTCTGTTTTTTCGAACCCTCCCTCTTCTGACCTTTCATGATCCTCCTGCAGAGTTTCTCCATGAACATTGTGGCTGACCACGACCCTGGTGCTCCTCACAGTAGCCCTCTCTTCATGCTGGGGGCTGGGGAGGGAAGGGTGAGTGTGCTATCCCAGCCCCCAAAGCTGTGCAGGGGGGCTGTGGCACAGCCTCGAAGGTGCCCCTTCAGCTTCTCCCCAGGAGGGTGGAGAGCATTGCTCCAGTGGCCATGCAGGAAATACAGCATGGATTTAAAAAAGAAAAAAAAGGTATTTGAGTCCCCCTGCTTTTTTAACCTTAGTGTAGCTCATTCAAATATAAAAATTGGAGCCACCAGGCTACCCTGGCCTCACAGCAGGTCCCACAGGCATGGTCCCACAGGCTGGCACAGCAGGGAAAGCAGCTTTTCAGCTAGAGATGGCTAACACCATGTGCTCGGGAAGTGGTGCTGTCCACGGAGATGGTTTGGATGCTCAGGGAAGCTGAGTTTTATTTAACTTTGATTACCCCAAGTAGAGCAGCAGCAGTTTATTAAAAACATCTTGACAACAGCATTGGGGTTTTTTGGGGTGGGTTTTTTCTTGTTGACTCTGCGAGTGAGTGGTACAAGGGGTTTGATGGCAATTTCAGGGGAGGGGGGAAACAAGAATAAAAATGTAACTAATTAAATGAATGTGTCTATTTCAGAGCAGACATGGCCTCAGTCTAGCTGATTGTTCTTTTACCTATATGCCTGTGTGTGTATATCCAGACACAAATTTCTATTATTTACATATGCAAACTGTGGGGAATGGCCAGTGGTTCTACCTGCTATGACAAGGGCTGTTTTTCCCTGTCTGGGTTTTTAGTTCCTTGGCAGGTGTTGCCCAGGCTTTGCTCTACTCAGAATTAACTGTGTTTTGGAAAAGTAGGAGCCAGTTGAAACACTTCTGTGTTTTTCTGATGTTTTTCCACATACTTTTTTTCCCCTTCCCTCATCTAAGGGGCTTCAAAACTGAGCACAAGTAGGAGCACCAGCTCAAACCAGCCTTCTGGCTCTGGCCGAGAGGGCTGTTTGCTGTGGCGCATGGGGCAGGGATGATGCAGCCCCAGGGGTACGGCATAGCTCGGGCACAGAAGGGGTATCACTGCTGATAAGTAAGGCTTTGCCAAGCTACTTTGTCAACCACAGAGGGCTTTTTTTTTTTTTTTCCTCCCTAATTTTTTTCCTCTTCTTTTGCTGTGGGGTTTTTGCTCTGCTATGGAGCATTTGAGCTAAGCCCCAGGAGGCCCCAGCTGATGTAAAAAAACACCCAGCAGTGCCTATCCCATTGAGTGTGGTGGCAGAGCAGTGGAAGCTAGGAACAGGTTTTACAAACTGTAAGCAGCAAGCCAGCTGAAAAAGCAACTTGTTCCCAAGAAAGGTTATGGTGACAGGCCCTAAAAATGGTCATCTGCATTAAGACTGCTTGTAACCTAACAACTGTCTGTCTTTGCTTTTGTTTAAGAAAGGAAAAGTGCTGTTGTACTCTCAGTATGACAATATGAAATTCCTAGTTCTCAAATAGGTTGTATTTATCCTGAAGGAAATGAGTAAGCTTGTGTTGTGTCTCCTGAGGTAATTTAAGTAAAAAAAAAAAAAAAAGGCAGGAGACAGCTTTAATTCAGGGTAATCTTTCTTTTGCTACGGTAACAGAAGTGCTTCAGTGATGAAGGCAACTGCCACAGTTCTGGGACTCACAGTGTGATTTTTGGCAGTTTTAGGAGTCACCCCAACTGCTGAAGTGACTTGTGAAATGGCAGGTTGTCTGTAGGAATGCTTGGAGGGGAAGAGGGACTGTGCTAAAAGGTAAAAGCAGCAGCTGTGGTGTAATTCGTATTGTGTGCAGGGGGGTGAAAACTCAACAAGCTTATGAGCCAAGAGATAAAAATGCCATGATGACAACAGTGAGGAAAAGATGGAAACACACAAGTTGTTTTGGGTTTTTTTGTTTATATTAACTTGCTGGAGAAAACATTCAGTGGCCCAAAAGAGAATGATTTCATGAAGTTGTAAAATTTGTGTATAATCTAATCTAAAGTACGTAATTACAGAATCACAGAATCATCAAAGTTGGAAAAGACCTTGAAGATCCTCCAGTCCAACCCTTAACCTCACACTGACAGTTCTCAACTCCACCAGATCCCTCAGCGCTGGGTCAACCCGACTCTTCAACACCTCCAACACTCCCCCCCTGCCCTGGGCAGCCCATTCCAATGCCCAAAAAGCCCTTATGGAAAGAAATGCTTCCTAATAGCCAGTCTAACCCTGCCCTGGTGCAGCTTGAGGCCATTCCCTCTTGTCCTGCCACTTGTTCCTTGGTTCAAGAGACTCATCCCCCATCTCTGCAACCTCCTTTCAGGTAGCTGTAGAGGGCGATGAGCTCTCCCCTCAGACTCCTCTTCTCCAGACTAAACCCCCCCAGTTCCCTCAGCCACTCCCCATCAGACCTGTGCTCCAGACCCTGCACCGTTACCCTTCTCTGGACACGCTCAAGTCATTCAATGTCCTTTTTGTAGTGAGGGGCCCAAAACTGAACACAGGCATCGAGGTGCGGCCTCACCAGTGCCGAGTACAGGGGTCAGATCCCTTCCCTGTCCCTGCTGGCCACGCTATTGCTGACACAAGCCAGGATGCCATTGGCCGCCTTGGCCATCTGAGCACACTGCTGGCTCCTGTTCAGCTAGCTGTCAATCAGCACCCCCAGGTCCTTCTCTGACTGGCAGCTCTCCAGCCACTCCTCCCCAAGCCTGTAGCGCTGCTGGGGGTTGTTGTGGCCCAAGGGCAGCCCCCGGCATTTGGCCTTAGTGAAACTACCCCAGTTGGGCTCAGCCCATCGCTCCAGCCTGTCCAGGTCTCTCTGCAGAGCCTCCCTACCCTCGAGCAGATCAACACTCCCGCCCAACTGGGGTCATCTGCAAACTGACTGAGGGTGCACTCGATCCCCTCGTCTAGATCATCAATGTTAAACAGGAGTGGCCCCAAAATGAGCCCTGGGGGACACCACTCCTGACCGGCCGCCAACTGGATTTAACTCCATTCACCACAACTCTTTGGGCCCGGCCATCCAGCCAGTTTTTTACCCAGCGAAGTGTGTGCCCATCCAAGCCATGAGCAGCCAGTTTTACCGGGAGAATGCTGTGGGAAACGGTGTCAAAGGCCTTGCTAAAGTCAAGGTAGACAACATCGACAGCCCTTCCCTCATCCAATAAGCAGGTCACCCTGTCGTAGAAGGAGCTCAGGTTTGTTAGGCAGGACCTGCATTTCATAAACCCATGCTGACTGGGCCTGATCACCTGGTTGTTGCGCATGTGTTGTATGATGGTGCTCAGGGTGAGCTGCTCCATCAGCTTCCCGGATACTGAAGTCAAGCTGACAGGCCTGTAATTTCCAACATCATCCTTCCAACCTTTCTTATA